AGAGAGAGAGAGAGAGAGAGAGAGAGAGAGAGAGAGAGAGAGATGTTCCTCTAAAGCCCCAGTCCCATCTTTTATTTATGACCCACAGGAAGTCCTTCAGTGTGTCCTCTAGATGATACCCAGGAAGTAAGCAGAACGATGCAGCCATCAGGACACGAGTCAGCCTGACCGGTCACTGACGGTGAAATGGGGCGTGGTCAGCAGGGGGTCGCTTCAGCTGCCGCTGCCGGATGTCTTCTAAGTATACAGATGTCCGTTTTCACGCTTGTCTCTCTCTCCTGCTGTCTTCTTTCCAGCCTCCCCAAGATTCACCAAGATTCCCACAGACCAGATCGGAGTGTCAGGGGGGGTGGCATCATTTGTGTGTCAGGCCATCGGCAACCCCAAGCCTGTCGTCTACTGGAACAAAAAGGGCAAGAAGGTCAACTCCCAGCGTATCGAGGTGGTTGTCACAGTGCACAATGTTTCACTCACACAGTAGAGATGTGATTATTCACAGTAATTATTATTGGCGCGAGGCTGTAGAGTTTTAGTTTCAGCGTCTAAATGAGAAATCTTTTTTACTTTTAATATCAAATTTTAAGGATTTTGTTTTTTAATATTTATAACACACCGCTGCTACAGTAAAATGTTTAAAAAAAACTACCATGTTTATTCATTCAATATGAATATATCTTCCAATTTATTAGCTGTGTAAGCATAAAAACCATCTGTCTGGTGCCTCCTCTGGATGAGTTATGCATTTTGCATGAAGCAGATCTGAACAGTTTAAAATCTAAAGTACAGTAAGTTTATTTCTCCCACGTAAACCAAACAAACCTCAGGTGTTTCTGTTGCCTGCTCGTTTTTCTTCACTTTCACGTGTTTACGCCGCAATTTAACAAACTCTCATAAAAACCTGCCTTCTGGATAATTTAGCATAAACCTCAGTCAAAACGTGAGCAGATGCTTTTCTCTCTAAAGTTTTTTTTTTTTTTTTTGCTTCAGCTTACTTGTCAGAACAGACCTAGTCTTCTGGGGAAAAAGGATTTTAAAAATGCAGCAACATTTCAAACAAGGGCTGAGTCCAAATTCAGGACTGCATCCCTCAAAGGTTGACTCTGAAGGCTGATTATGTCACAGCGATGCACGGAAGGCTGTCCAAATTCGAAGGCTCCAACAATTGCGGTTCACAACTGCGTCCTCCTTTCCCCTCGATTTGAGAGATGGGTCCGATGTATCCCTCTCAGCCCCCCGTATCCCAAGATGCATTGTGGGCCAACCAGAAGAACTGTTTTGCTTGAAATGGATGACAAAGTGATACATGAAGTGAGACAGGAGTACAGTTTTTGATTACAATCTGGCAGTAGAAAAAAGGAAAGTTTAAAGCAGTTGTGTTTTTTGGCCTTTTTTATTTGAGTAATGTTTATAACATTATCATGTTTTTAAATTATCGTAAATAAACTTGTATGGCAGGTCCCTTAGATTTTCATGAATTGCCACTGAGTTAATTTTGTTAATTATAATATTAATATTTTGCTATTTTCATTTGTCATTGCTTCTGTTTACCTCCATCATGGTTGCTAGAAGACAGGGCATACACTGAGGTATGGTATGGTTTAGTGAGTGAGGATGGATTATGTACCCATATGAGCGGGGACCTTGTAAGTGGGCCCATTGCTCTCCCAAAAGGACACTGAACGTTAATCAAACCTTCGCGTCCCTCGGATGAAGGACARAAGGTTAGAAACACTCAGTGTTTTGAGCTTCTCGGGATCCATAAAGGGGCCCCCAATAATAATTTTTCTTTGACTGCTCAGAGCCAGGCAGTGGCCTAAGTAGTGCAAAGCGGCATCTAGCTCAATGCCACAGGCATCACACAGACCACTATCATAGAGTCCCATCACCATTTTGTGGCGGGTGAGCGGGTTGTGCCCAGTTGGAAATCCAACCAGTTTACTTAAAGTTTTCCTTGTCCGGGCGATGAGAGCTTTCCCAAACCTAAGATTTGGGCCATTGATCAGTTCCTGTGCCGGTCTACAGTCTGTCAGCTGCCTCCAGTGGACTGAGTGGACACTGGGGTAAGGGTGGGAATAAAGCTGAAAATTCACAGACACTCATTTCTAGTCTTGGTGGTTAACTTCGGCCCCAGCATACGTTGACCAGGATGCTTTGAAGGATGCAGCCCCTGATTTTGGACACAAGTATAACACATGAGGTGCTGCCATTGGGAAAAAAATGGTTGCACAGTAAAATAAGACAACCTCTTTTCTAATATAAAAACACACAATTTGAGGTCTGATTTGTCAGACAAAAATATCARCYTCTGCCTTCACTTTTTGGCAATGTGCGATAAAAGCACGTTGTGGATTTTTCTGGCCTTTAATATTATTATTCCTCATTCTTCCACAGCGTCTTCCCGTCTGTGTGAGGTTTGCACAGATAGGCCTATAACATGGTAATTAGAGCCTTTTCCAGGTAGTGATAAATGAATTATTTTGTGCTTTGATATGAGGCAGGCTAGCCCGTGTAATCCAGCTACTAACATAAACTAATGACTCCGTGGCTGGAGCGTGACAGATTAATGATGGGAACATCAATTTTCTCRGCTAACCTTGGAGCGAGAAGACGTGTTAGAGCCAAACTGTTTTAAAAAAGTGATTAAAATATTGTTGAAACCTGCAGAGAGTTTGCACAAAACTCGCACAGGAAAATCCAATCTTCCTAATTTGCACCGAGTGCACAATTGTTAGTTAGCTCAAAGCTACAAACAAAGCAAACTGAGGGAGATTTATTTCTCCTGTTTCCAGCTCAGTAGAGGTCTGACTGTAAAGTGATGCAGTAATGTGATCTAACTCTTAAAGACATTGCATTTCAAGCAGGGGCCCCTGCTCAACCGRACATGTTGGTAAGTACCGTGTCTGCACAGGTGAGGTGTTTCGTGCAAGTTTTAGAGAGGTTTGCTACCTTTACTGTACATGTAATGCTGAGAATGTAGACTYTACAAAGCTGCTGACGTAAACCAACATAAAAGTTCACTGTTGTGTTTTTAGGAGGTAACTGTTTGCGCTGCTGTATCTAATGTGCTGTGCTCTGTACGTTTTGTGGCTCCTCAGACCATAGAGTTTGATGAAGGTGCCGGTGCTGTGCTGAGGATCCAGCCGCTCAGAGCACCCCGAGATGAGAACGTCTARGAGTGCGTGGCACGCAACAGCGAAGGAGAGGTCTCTGTCACTGCAAAGCTGGCCATTATCAGAGGTAAAACACAGACACACACACACGTTTGTTCTTGTATCCTCTTGGGGACTTTGCATTAACTTCCATTAATTTACCGGTTATTTCTATAGCATAACCCTGATCCTTTACCCTAAACCTAACCCCCCCCCCATCCAAAATCGGCATCCGTACTTTGAAGATCAGGCTTTGGTCTCCATAAGGAGCATTGGGTCCCCACAAGGTTGTGTTTGTCTGCAAAATGGTCCCCATGATGTAGCAAAWACGTGTCTACACACATCCCTACACACACAGTCTTTTCCCACTTGTTCTCAGCCGTCACGTCCAGTTTCACTGCTCTGTCAGCTGTGGATGTGACGCCACACCCTGCCTGCACATCAGGCTGCAGAGGAGCTGTTCTTTTTATAGTCCCCTCTGAGTGCACCCGAGCATAACATAAGCAGGCCTGCGAAGGAGGGTGGGGGGACATGTTAGCTCAGGGCCATCATAGCCTTGCAGCTTGCTGTAATCATTCCACTTCCTGGCCAGAGCAAGGGGTGTTAGTCCATTGTTGACTGTCTCCTCAGAGGGAAACCTATCTAACACTTCGCTCCGGCAAGTTTTGGGCTTAAGTTGCAGCGTGCGGCTGTTCGCACGGGATCTGAGCATTGGCCGTCGGCCCAGCACAGCTGGATTAGATTGAAGAAATGGAGGCTGGCTTCTGCTCAGGCCGTCACTTAAACAAGTGAAAATTTGTGGGATTAGGATTTGGGGGGGATTGGCAAACGAGTCCTTTTATCACCAGGAGTAACAGATGAGGAGGTCAAGGAGAGGTGAGAAGGGACTATGATGGAGCCGTGAGTGAGTTGAGCAACACAACGGCACCGTGAGAATCAGTCGAGATGGAATTGGGATGTCGGAGGAGTTTGGGGCGGGGAATCTGCGAGCGCAGAAGATGGATGAGGATTGTGGAGTTGGCGGGGCTGCGAAGCAAGCAGAAGGCTGGTTGCTGAGGGAATAGACTCCTGTCCATCTGTTACCCAGCCCATCATCTCTGCACACACAGCCCCAATCTAAAGCACATTACCACAGAAACTGCACCTCAAGGCTCAGCGACCCAGTGTGTGTGTGTGTGTGTGTGTGTGTGTGTGTGTGTGTGTGTGTGTGTGTGTGTGTGT